CCCATCACTGCATTATCACTGTGACATAAATGAAGAAGACAACTAAAGAGAAACGTGATGAATGAGCGGCCAGTCATCGGCAACCACAATAGAGGTATTTAAAATCGAGAGCTGTCCAGATATTAACGCGTGGCCAACAGTATGTTCTACTTAGTTAAAATAGTCACTATTTGAATTACTTACCTACCTAGACAATAATAAGTCCGGTATTGTAGAAATAAGTACTAAGCTTTTATGATATAAAAAAAGAAGGTGGAAGGCATTATTGTAAATACGATTATCAGACCATTGAAATTGGAAAAGTTATCAGCTTTTGAAAGAGCTTCTGAAGTTTTTTTAATCACACATCAAAAACCCATCAAAGTGAGAAGACTGATATCGGAAACTTTAATAAGGCCAATGTTGCAGAATAAACATTTATCAGCTAAAAAACTGCTCGTTTCTGCCTCAAAACAGGCACACACTCCAGTTTGATCATTATTTTAATGAAATTGTAGCAATCTCAAGTTGGGTTTGGATATTATCATCATGATGTCCATGGGCTTCACTATCATCTTAACATCGCACTCTAAGAGCTCATCTGCCAACTGGATGATCTTAAAAATGAGATTAATTTCTAGAATTTAAACAACATTTAAAAAAGTTTTACTATATTCAGAATTTAAAAAGGTTTGCTACAAAAAGAGCTTTCACATGAATACAATACACCTATTTAGTCCAGAACTATTAAAAAGAGATGTCGATACTTAAACGAGGTTCAAGGTACGACAGATTAAACTTTTGCAAGCCAAATAATTAAATCACTACAAGCAAAATTTCCTATCACACTGTCATACTTTCATTTTACAACAAGTAAAATTATTTAAGTATAATTAGACATTTTGTGGGTAAAACGTGCCGGAGATTATCACGCGTCATTCTAATGTCTTCACGTTACGTCGCGTCGTGTAGAGTCATGTTGTGACCTTAGTACAGTAACCACGATTCATGCACACGAGTTAATTTTTCTGTTTTCACTCTTATGCAAAAATAGCGAGGTGTATAGAAGCATAATTTAGCTAAATAACACATTAACTTCTGTACTTGCTCCGACTATTCATATCTGTTACTCAAAGTCAGAGGTTTGGTCCTTAGAAAGCTTCACGTAATCCTTAATTTACGATCATTTTCCATTTAGTTTCAGTACAAAGTCGAGGCTTAACGTGATACTAGATTTTATTTTTAATCACCAAACGATTAATATTTTTTTAGCCGCAATGGATTCGCAATTATTCATTTAGAAAACAATGGATCGACGACTTATCATTTTACTTTATATAGGTTTGAGCCATGTGCTGGAATAAATCAGAGTAGAGTTTATTGATCAAAATGAGATAATTAATTTTCAAGTCTTTATTAGCAATTATCAAGTTTAACATCAATATAATATAAAGTTCAACATACTTATGACTTCCGTGTTTAATAATTAGATGGAACAAGATTATAATTATCGTGAGATACATCACCTGTTTTTGTATAATTTATAAGGTAACATCATATACTTTGTGAATCGAATGACCTATCAAGGACTAGAATGGACATCTTGATTGACAGCTATTCATTATAAACTTGACGTGTTTCAAAAGAGGACCACCAACCTAAATACATAGCCATGTAATCTATCAATACCTAAAAATGTTTTCGATTTAAATATACACTAAAGTTTTCGATTACATAGCATTTATATTTTTGTAGAAAGTACAAGAGAATGAGTTTAAAAACCTTCGTGTTTCCCGAGTACTGGCCACGGAAGCGTGAACACGAAACATCGCGATCGACTGGTTAGGCAATACGGGACTTTATGGGTGCCGTTCACGACTTGTCCCAGTTCTGGATAATGAAAACTACGTATTACGGATTAGAATTAGTTAATGTAAAATAGTAAAAAGTACGATTAAAGATATTTCAAATATGAAGTTTCTCAACAACATTATACATCTATTCTTTACCAGTCTTAAAAATTATAGTGTAATTTACAGCATATCGAAATACGCTGTTACATATTGAATATTAGTAACAGCAAAATTTTATCTTAATACTAGCTGACCCGGCAGACTTCGTAGTGCCTCAATCGATAAATAAAAGACCTAAACTTTTGTATAAAACAAACAAAAAGAATCCGTCCGAAGGGGGCCACATCAAAGGGAGAATTGTTATTTTTACTTAATACCGAGCATTTTCATATTTAGCTACCTTTTAAGCCTTACCTGGACTTCCCCAAATAATTCAAGACCAAAATTATCCAAATCGGTCCAGCCGTTCTCGAGTTTTAGCGAGACTAACGAACAGCAATTCATTTTTATATATAAGTATATAGATTACACTATTGTTTTAGAAAGCATACGCTCGTGTGCGATCTAAGTCTTCGACCCACCTGATGGTGACTGGTCACTGTGGCTCATTAGGGCAGCCAAATCAGGCACCTACCATTGATTCTGACTAGTATAAAAATCTTTTCTTTTCACAAAAACGTCTTGTGCCTTATCGCTATTTAAATTTATATCGTTACATTCAATCAACTAATAGGTATAATTTACGCAATGTACTTTTAACACCATAGTGTATTATAATTTTTTTGTTGCTTTTATCTTATGGTTATCGAAATTCTATTATTTGTGTAGTTTATTTTTGCTTGCTGCACAAAAAAATATTTTTCTACTTTACTTCACTTGTCTTAACAAACAGCAACAAGCATACATGGTTGTCTCCGAATCACAAAATTGTCTTAATGCGCAAGTATGTTTAATTATTAAATATGTGTTTGATTTATCTTATCTGAATGAATGACGTAACGATTGTTTGGAAATAAACAGTGAATCATCAATCTAATAGTGATTAATTACATCAAGAAACGATGGTTCGAAGGTTCGATAAAGGAGTTTTGTATTGGGATGTAGGTAGCATTACATCCTGCTTCATAATTTGAATGATGTGTTTCTTAAGCACGACAGATGTCTTTAATAAATAATAATTAAAATGTCGATAAAGATCAGATGGGCCCGGAAGTTACTAAAAAATACTTTTTTATTGCCCAGATGAGTAAACCAGGGCCCTGAAACTGCAATACTTTAAGACGAATATTTTTTTGTATGGAAACTAGCGATATCTTGTAGCCGATGCCCCTAAAATTTATGCTGTGAAAGTAAATTTAATTATTGTATAACTAAACACAGAAAATAAACAATTAATAAATCATACAAGTCTTTATTTGTTGTAGCAAATTTACAAAATTCTTTATTCAAAATAAAATATAAGATAGGTAATATGTTACTGCTATCTACAGGAGCAATGAATCGTCGTGGCCTAAAGGATAAGACGTCCGGTGCATTCGTGTTGAACGATGCACCCGTGTTCGAATCTCGGGCGGGTACCAATTTTTATAATGAAATTTGTACTCAACAAATGTTCACGATTGACTTCCACGGTGAAGGAATAACGTCGTGTGATAAAAATCAGACCCACAAAATTATAATTTGCGTAATTACTGATGGTAGGATCTCTTATGAGTCCGCGCGGAGAGGTACCACCACCCTGCCTATTTCTGCCGTGAAGCAGTAATGCGTTTTGGTTTGAAGGGTGGGGCAGCCGTTGTAACTATACTGAGGCCTTAGAATTTATTTCTCAAGGTGGGTGGCGCATTTAAGTTGTAGATGTCTATGGGCTCCAGTAACTACTTAACACCAGGTGGGCTGTGAGCTCGTTCACCCATCTAAGTAATAAAAAAATAAAAAAAAATCTAAGCGAAGCCATCTAGTGACCGATGCCCGCAAATATTTTTGTTTAGTGCTTGAGTTGCTTCTCTATAACTAACTTATGTGTATTATCTATGGAGTCAACGAATTCACTTGAGCCCATGGTGCCACCTACTTTGAGACTTGAGGTATTTATGTCAATTGTATGAATGTAATTACGAAAATTATAGTTTATGCGGGTTTGATTCTCATTATACGATGTTATTCCTTCTTCGTGCAAGTCATTCGTGAACATGATTTGAGTGTGTATTTCATTAGCAAAATTGGTGACTTCTTGCAGAATTGGAACATCGACACAATCGCATCGCTCGACACGAGTATACCAGCCGTCTTATTCTTTAGGCTACGTCGTCTTTGATTTCGTAAATTTCTATTTACAACTGACTATCTTTCAAACTTACGGTTCTTAGAGAAGAGCCATAGATCGGCCATGAGCGATTGTTATAATAATCTACACCAATAAAATTTGGAAACCAAATAATACCGTTGCAATTGCAGCGGCTTCAAAATTACAAGTGTCAATAAATGGTCGTAAAATAATTTCACAAGTGTTAAAAGGTAGTTCGTTGCACGGTAGTGCCTATCTATTTTGTAAGTTAAAGATTTCCTTTAACGTTTCTATCAGCATCTAAGCATTTGCAAAACATCCTATTATTTTAAATGTATATTTTAATTCACATTAAATCGTGAGTCGCTTGGCGTAAAGGTAAATTATAAAGAACAAAACTAAAAATAAAAATTATTATTTAGTAAGTTGCAAGAGTAATTGCGCACATTATAAAAGTTATGAGTTTAATTGATATTAAGCAGAATGCGTGCAAAATTTCTCAAAGTAGCGTTCTGATAATTTCATTTTAGAGAGAGAGAGAGAGAGTATTCTTTATTGTACACCAAAAAAATAATTAAGCAATGCGATACATTAAATACAAATACAATACAATAAAAATAAAAATTAAAATTAAAAAAAAACACATTTATACATATTATATACCTATATAGGTATGCACATAAACATACATATACATACACAAATACCATTTTAATCATTTCTACATTCTTTTTTTGTTTGAAATTATGAACAAAAGTTATCAATGAATTTTAATTTTTAAGGAATTTAATATTTCCTTACATTACTTTACTCATTAACATTTAACTGTGACGGATGGTCGACGGTCACGGGCGGGCGGCGAGCTTTCAGATCTCCCCTCCATGAGAACGGGCGGGCGGCGCATGCGTACTTCTAGCCAGTCCCTACGCGACGCACATCGCGAGAACATGTCCCCCTTGTGGATCTTGCTGACGTTGCTCCCTGTACTTGGTAAGTGAAACATCGTGTGATCTGTGGTGTTCTCTCATCGTGCACTGTGACGCAATTGCGGATATAATCGGGAAAGCGTTTGGCGGAAAATCCGCTTTTGGAATTTTCCGACAACGAGGAAAAGGACCAGATTAATTTTGTGTTTCTTTGTTTTTGCATAAACTTTTGCAAAATGTGTTTGTTTTGTACCTATACTTTATTAAGAATAAAACTTGAACTACTTTGTAAAGTCTGAGCTTGAATTGCAGACAACAACCATGGTTTCGTAATTTTAAATGTTTTCTTTACTTGTTTTTTCTTTGAACGTAACTAAAAATATGTAGGTACTTTCATGTTCTAATTTAATGTATAAATGAGTAAAATATCGTGTACTTTATCGTAGGAAACGTTTTTTTCGCGCATTAGGAAATATTTGTATATTTATGTTATGTGGTATTTACTTAATGTACATTATTTAAAAGTTTTTAATTCGCCAAATAATTTTGCAATTAAATTATATTTTACATTATTACGATTTTCCTCCGCATTAACGAGGGTTTCTCCCGATAGGGGTTAATTTTTTTTTTGATGATCCACCTCATACGGAACACTTGATTCTCTCTTTCTATTCAGTGAAATGTAATCCCTATTTCAACTTTTTGAAATTTCGATACAATTTAAGCAGTCATTGATTAAAACTAAAAGCAATTAGGTCAATTTAAATCGCTACGTTGAAAATACCATTCGCTGTATGATAGTTATAATAGCTCCCAAACTAAAAAGACTTCTATGTATATTAGAATAGACCATCATAAAATAGTTAAGTATCATTTAATGCTTTGATTTTCATTCGATTTTTTTTAGTAACTATTGACGAGTGTTATGAATATATTGAAATAGGAATATTCAGTTTTTCTAGGAATTTTAAGAACAAGAAATAAAATAATATCTAATTCTTAAAACAAATATAATTGTCGAGGTGTCAGTGATTATGGTGGCATTTCGATCACTGTGCGATCATTATTAATAAAAAATTAACGTTTCACTTTTAATGTCCTTAAATTCAGCTTAGATTTTCTACGTATTATTGGCACTTGAAATACATATACGTGATAAGGACAAAACTGAGACCCTAAATATCAAATACATGTTTGTCACAAGCATACTAACAGACTTTGCTTTGGTAGCAGAAGAACAACGAAGCGATCTAATAGCTTAATCATTATATCTTGAAACCAATTCAATATGTAACAATCAATTTATAATCGAGCAAGAAAGTTCAATATCTCCTGCTTAATAACAGTATTGCCGTTTCAAAAATTCCCAAAAAATTCTAAAACATTTTGTGATATACCTAAGATGTGATTAGATCTAAAATCTAGAGTTTAAATTCAACTATTGTTACTACCGCAACATTTACACTTTGAATTATTTATTAAGAGAAACTTTCAAAGTAACGCGGTTTATTCTATTATCAAAACAAATTTAAGAACAATTTATATTTTGTACTCGTATGAAGATACACAGACTGCACGCGATCATTAGGGATGCACAATACATTTTGGTATATTGGCTGTGTACGTACCGCGCAAGTATTTCTTGCGCAATGATGCACTTTCCATTCGCTCTGTGCCCCGAGGCAGACGGGTGGTCACAAGTTGAAAGGTCTAAGTACACTTGTTTTTAGAGATTGTTCTTCTTTTAATTTATCTCTATTTTAAAACAATTATTTCGTCCAAATGTAATCGTCAAAAAGGCATTCGATTATTTTTATTGAAATTCAACTGTATAGTAAAAAATATCAGTTCGAAATTTAAATAATATTTACGCCATGCCATGATTTAAATTGATGAATGATGTTAATTGAGTAACGCGAGAACGAGCTTAGGAATGGAAATGTTGTGTTGCTTGGTTTAAATTAATTAATATTGAATCGAATTAAATATTAGCAACTCATAAAGGTCAAAGAGATTTAGAATCACAGATAAAGATCCCTGTTCGCCGGATTTACATAAGAGATATTCCCACGGCCCGTTCTCCGTACAAACTGGGGCGGCGTGACGACCGGAGAGTGGATGAGTTAATTCAAGGTTCATCACAAACTTAACTAAATATCTCGATTATTTTGAAAATTATCCAACCGTTTTGTGGCCTTCACCTCCTTACTAATAACATCTATAATTTTTTATTATATAATTACGATAAACGCAACTTTAGACACGAATTGTTTTGTATCTCAATTTCGGTATGAGAAAACATTGTATGTGCCCCAAATTAAGAGCTGTTTTAAAATTTACATAGCTTGCTGGGAATTCATTTTTAACATACAAATACTAAATACTTTTCCAAGCTCGGAAATTACCCATGCAAATTGTATTAAAATTTCAGTCAATATGGAATTTGACATGCACAAACGTGAATAAAAAATGCCTATACGTCTTGATAAAGTGCTAAAAGAGCATGTCTAACAATAGAAAGAACATGAAATTTAAATTTTATTTGAACTAAATTAGCATTTAAATAATTCTACGGGACACAATATAATTTTGCGACACAGTTATTAATATCAATAATACAAATAGATATATTTATAATGCATATACGTATGAATGAAAATCGAAAGTAATTCAAAGTCATTGACCTAATGCAACTATTCATCGAAAGACGTTGCATATTCTTTCAGTAACGTTTTTATCGATCAGCTATAAAATTTAAACGACTCATCACAACATAGGTTACGTCACTTTGCTGAGTACAACCATCACACTATATTCACTAGGGCCGTCAAAGAAATGTTTTAAATTATTGCTTATTTGTATTCATGTATGCGAAAAGCAGGGGTTTTTAATTCGATTATCCATGTAACTTACGGAAGTTCAATTAAAATCTTGCGTCAAAATACGACAGAATTCGGTTATTAGTTTAGTTAATTTCTGTTGTAAATCGGACAGCCCTGAACTCGATGAACTCTTCGGTCGCATATCATATTGCTCTCCTCATGTCCAAATAGCACGCTAATCCAAAAAACAAAGACGTTTCTTCCGTTACGAAACATTTATTTGTATTTGCATTTCGAGTGTGAAATGAACGGATACCCACGCCGAAATCGCGTGAAATTTTTTAATTGAATACACGTATGCTTACAACACGACCGTTTCACGCCATATCAAGTTATGTACTGAAATTTCTTAAATGTTAGGAAATTTATTCATCAAACTATAAACGATTTGGTTCATCACAGCCCGAAACTCTCGCCGGGCCTGCTTCAATTACATTACTTTTAGCATTTTATATTGCATAACGATGCTTATGGTCAAGTTTTTGTATGTCCATTAAATACGCAGTAAGCATTAATGTTATTTTTTTTTTAATCAGAAAATCAGTTGAAAACCTTCCGTTGATTACATTTAAAATGATCGCGACAATTAGCCTACATTTGCCATCCGTCAGCATCTTCTAAACGACCGAGTCTAAATATATCACACACGTTGAACACATTATACCTTATATTATATAAGGCATTATAAGGTAGTACGCTGACCTTTTGCGCAGGATGCACCTTGCGGCATTCAGTACTTACTCTTGCGCAACACTACTATGCTTTACACAGTAGACCGGAGATAATAATATTTGTTTTATTTTATTGCTTATATGGGTAGACGAGCTCACAGCCAACCTGGTGTTAAGTGGTTACTGGAGCCGATAGACATCTACGACGTAAATGCGCTACCCACCTTGAAATATAATTTCTAAGCTCTCAGTATGGTTACTACTACGGCTGCCCCGCCTTTCAAACTGAAACGCATTACTGCTTCACGGCAGAAATAGACAGACCTACCCGTGCGGACTCACAAGAGGTCCTACCACCAGTACTAAATTAATATGATTAAAATAAATTAACATATTATCAAATAATTAATTAAATTAATATTACTTAGTACTTGTTCACAAATATCTCATTACTCGCGTACACTGTCCTCAATCGTTAGCTATATTGTTATTTGTTTTAACTGTATTGAGTCGCATTCCGATATGTAAAAAATTCAGACCTTTATTAAACCACGACAAGAACAGTGAGTATTTGAAAGTACATTTACTAATAAGCCTTGATAATTTGCGAAAAAAATCGCCTTACTACGCACGTATGAATCTGATGAAATCTGCATTGTATATAATACTAGAAATGCCTCAGGTGACATCACAAAGGACGGAGCACCAAGTTTACAAACTGGTCTTTCAATATTTACTACGGAACATTTTCATGTATTTAAAAAAAAAGAAGATACCCGTAGTGCTAAATTTCCTACATTCCTAACTTTGGATTGACAGGCATTCAACGGACTAATCTGGGATGTTTAGTGTTCTAAAAGTTTTAAATTCTAAGTTTTACGAATAGATCGATCATCCCAGTGGTGTGGTGGTGTGGTCATCCATAATTTTATTACCTACATAGGAGTTTTGTAAGTTTGAGTATGAATTTCTGCTACCACATTCTCATGTGGTTTGTACGAAACCAATCTAACCGCCGAGAGACCGTTTACGTACTTATGTTACATGTTTACTCAATAACTTGACTCACATTTACCTGCATCCGTTACACAAGCCATATGTTTAGTGAATGTATTAAGTTCGCATCATAATAATGTTATCGTAACTATGGAATATTGAAATTGCGTAAGAACACGTACCATTTTTGCCACGTACCATCCGGCTATGGAATGAGCTCCCCTCCACGGTGTTTCCCGAGCGCTATGACATGTCCTGCTTCAAACGAGGCTTGTGGAGAGTATTAAGCGGTAGGCAGCGGCTTGGCTCTGCCCCTGGCATTGCTGAAGTCCACGGGCGACGGTAACCACTCATCATCAGGTGGGCCGTATGCTCGTCTGCCTACAAGGGCAATAAAAAAAATAAAAAAAAGAACAGATTTTTGTCGTAATTTATTTTCTTAGTTATTATTGAAAATGAAACAACCATAAAGAACTTAAGTTAACTCGTGTATACACAGTTTGGCCATAAATATGGTTACAATAATAAAAAAATAAATAATGTAAAATTTTAATTGTTAATTAAATGTTAATTATATTTTTTCGTTTTTGTTCCGGTCCTTGTTACAATAGAGTGGGATGACAAAGAGAACTTCATGGCCGTGACAATATGATGCGCGTGTAGCCTAAAACAATATTATTTTATTCTTATTTTATTATATAATTATTGAAATATCAAAAACCTTCTTTTTTTATTTCCCTTGTAGGCAGACGAGCATACGGCCCACCTGATGGTGAGTGGTTACCGTCGCCCACGGACTTCAGCAATGCCAGGGGCAGAGCCAAGCCGCTGCCTACCGTATACCTACCTATATGCCTAGCTTCTTTTTTATTAGTGTATCGATTGCATATTATTGAATTGGATAGCATTGATAATAAAATATAGAGCCGGTATTTTAATAATATCCTATAATTAAATGCTTAATTACTGGTTATTTGCCTTTTGTGTTTGGTGATAGTTTGAGTGTAAGAGTAAACTGTTATCTTGTCTATTTTTGCCGCGAAACATCATGGATTGCGTTTTGAAGGATAAAACAGCTGTTGCAACCGGGACTTCGACTTCAAGTGTCAAAGTGGGTCGCGGCATTTGCACAGTTTCCATGGCCTCCAGTAGCCACTTAACAGCAGATGGGCCGTGAACCTGTTAACCTATTAATACGTTAAAAAAACGGACTTCATTATGATTTTGTAAGGTATTAGATATCAAGGACTGTAAGATGCAATTGTTCGTGAAAAAGTTTTCCAATAATGGATACAATTGTATGATAAAACTGTCGGGAAAATAGTTTAGCCTCTTATTAACACCATATTATATCTTCATAAGTTCAGCCTATTGTTAGGTCAGGCTTTAAGTAAGACCCAGCACTCGGTAATAAAGTTCGATCGATACGATTCCCGATATTAATTCCGTGGATTATGTTTTATATTTAGTTTTGGAGAACATGACATACTTTAATCCTCTAATCTATTATCTATTTACCTATATATATAAAAATGGAATTGGAATTTATTTGTGGAAGTCCAGAGAAGGTTTAAAAGGTAGATAAATATGAAAATGCTCGGAATTAAATGAAAATAACAATTTTAAAGCTTTTCTTAGATGTGTCCCCCGTCGGATGAATTCCTTTTGTTTGTTTTAAGTTTATTTTATACAAAAGTTTAGGTCTTTTATTTATCGATTGAGGCACTGCGAAGTCTGCCGGGTCAGCTAGTCATATATAAATTTGGGATCCTTAAGACAGTGGTTACCTTTTCCTTGTGGAAACTTTGTGTTTCTACCTATATAATATGTATGTTAATGCCAGTGTAAACAAAGGCATCAAATGTAACAAATGATTCATGTCGTATTCAGGGGGAGCAGAAAGATTTAATTGTAAGGGCCGCATCCTGGGGGCGTACTATGCTGACGCCAAGTCTGGATGCAAGGCCTTCCACGTATGCGTGAGAGTCGCCGGCGGTGGGATCCGGGACTTCAGGTTCTTCTGTCCCCCCGGTACGCTGTTCCACCAGGAGGCGCAGACCTGCACGGACTGGGGAGATGACGACCCCCTCGCCTGTCCCGCGGATATCTACGACGGTCAGTTTGATCTCTACAGGATCGGATCCGGTGAGCTTGCTTTGCGACTAACATTATAACCCTTACAAATAAAATTTGTCCAAACCAAAGCTTTAAACTTCTAAAATTATAATTATTATAATATAATTTTAAAATTGTCTCAAATTCATCAATTCCATTTTTAACTTTTTTATTTCATCATCATAGAACAATCAGACAGAATTAGAAATAGACAATAATTGTTTGTTTGTTTGTGAGTGTTACTACTTAAGCGGCAAGAACGCATATAAGGCAAAAGAAAAAAAAAAAATTTAGTAATTTACTGAAAGTTTTATCCATAGAACACCAAAGAATTGAGGACTATACGATGCAGAGCTAAAGGTATTAACGAATCATCTTACAGTGGATTGTTATAAAACTGATTTGATTAGCATAAGTTGGCTTTATAATTTTATAATCGTAAAAACGCTTGTATGTTTGCCATGCATTCAACATTCATACTTTTAACACAATGAGCGAAAAATATATCAATTAAATGCGTTCGGTAGCGGTCAGCCCTACGCTTTAAGAACGAACGCTTATTCTGCTTTTTATCAAGATTTCACGAATAGCATTTATTTAAAAAATATTGTTATAAATGGCTGGCCAGTATTTGCTAAGAACCGGAGCGATTATCAATGCATCAGTGTAGATAAGTAGTCAAATAAATTATTGTTATGTTGCCATAGGATATGATACGAGAAAGCTGTCATCTCCCGCTAATCGCGAAGAAGAAACAGAATTCGGCCTTCAACGCGCCGAGACCGGTGACCGCCGACTTTCACAAAACAACGGCGCATCAAACGGAGCTGGGTCTGATCTTCGTGCGGCACATTCTTCCGACTTTTTCACTGGACAACGTGACCGTGGCCGTGACGATCCAGTATCACCCGCAGCGCCTGCTCAACCCACCTCCCAAGCTCCTCAGACACAGCCTCGGCAGTCGTTCAGGAGAGCTACACTTCGCCCTAAAACTACAATTACAGCACAATACACGACAGTATCACCATCACTTGCTCCACAACCCTCAAGCTTACCACCATACGAAACATCGAAGCGTAAACTCGTGAGAAAACGACCAGTCCCAGTTTCTAGTTCTGCGCCGGTTCCAACCACGTACGCACCTAATTTACCTTCACAACAACCTTACTTCGAACTGACACAGCAAAACTATAATCGTCGAAATCCTCAGAATAAGCAAAGTAACACAACTCCTAGCACGCCATATCAAAACCAACAAACCTTCACTACAATCAATGTACCCACACAGAGGCAAAGCGAGACAACTCCGAACTTGCCACCTCAGTTTAGAGAATATAAAGATGAATATGTTGAAGTAAGTAGAGTGACACCGAAACAAAATAAATTTTACAATTCCAAAGCTACACAGATTACTTTCCCGCAGACTACCGCCGCGCCTAAAGTGAACAAGAAACAAGGATTAGTCGAGTTGTATAATAATGAAGGGCAATCAACAGCTGGCTACAACCTGCAAAATGATAATCGTTCGTTCAAAGTGCGCAATGGATTTAACGTTGACGAAGCACCCCGTGATCCCGAATTCAACCGAAACAAAAATAATAATGGAAATTACAACAATCGAAGCACCCAAACCACTGCATCCAACTATAATAATGTACGAAATGTTGTCCCGAATACACCACCGTACAAAAATTATAACAGCGTGCCTTATGAACCCGAAAAAAATAACGTCGTACCGTATTCTAAAACTAACTATTTTAATAGCCCTGCGACTGCATCAACAACAATATCGACAACTTTAATCACGTCCACGTACCGACCTGAACCACCTGCAAATCTAAATAAAGTTGCTTACAACACTAACATCGGTTTCAACGCGCCCGCTAACAACTATGACGAATCTGGAGAAGATGACGGACAATATCGACCACCACAAGGTGAAGACGACGGCTTGTATAGACCGGAGTTGTATGACAGAGAGCTTCTGTCTGGAGCGCATTCTTTGAATATTGCAGCCAGTGGTAACAGATTGCCTGAAGAACGAAAAAAATTGGCTAAAACACAATCTCCGTCAAAGTTAAAATCCCAGACTTCACCGCGACCTTTCAGGCCGGCTCCCACACCGGTTTCGAGTCCTCCACAAACAACTCGAGCACCTGAACTGCCTACAACCACAGTTGTACCGCAGACTATTAGTGCCCAGCGTACGTTCGACTATTACCAAACTTATACTACAACATCGCGTCCTAGTGAGGCGCCAAATTTTGCATCATATAATAATGCCAATGTAAAACCTACGACAAATTTACCCACGAAAACTATAGAAAGCCGACCAACAAGACCCCACAGCCGTGGTACTGGGGCACCGGTAGCACCCACAATATCTCCTACCTATGTGCCAAGACCCACTACTAAAGCACCGCATTTCGCTAAGCCTTCGCACAATAAAGAAGATACGAGCTACGACTACGCGTACTACGATTCAGATCCCGGTTTTTCGGAATACGACCAAATCGAAGAATTCGGGAGAACTAAAGTTAAAACATAATTTTATAATTTTTCATTTTACTATTACACTGCCATTAAATTAGTTGGTCTCTATGGGTGTCGTGGTAATATTATTTATTTAAACGTATTGTAAAATTCAAAGTTGCTGCTTTCATTATGTTATGTGTGATTTAACAGAAAGGACACCCACAGAGGCGATTGTCTACGAATAGTTACCCTAAATTATTTGTGATAGTAATTATAATAAATAATCTTTCAATTGGTTATAAGTTTTATAATCAAACTTTGGAACTTACCCAGTTATTAGTAAGTACAAAAGTTTGAAGAAGTTTTTTTTCTTTCTATAAACATGTCAATTAAATGATTCACTCTATTGAACTATTATACAAATTTACATTGTAATACTACTGCAATTGATTAAATAAATATTTCAAATGATCAGTGTAAAATAGGATATAAGTTATAGATTGTAAAATATTTCATTGTAAATAAAGTTGAGGAAAAACAATAGCTTGTGCAATTCGTGTCAATTCTCAAAGCCCGTGAGAACTAGTGAACAATTTAGATGTTTAGGCATCGTACCGCACTCATAGGCGACGGCACAAAAGAAACTCCCAGCACTTTGCAACAACGATCATGTAAGGAGATAATCACGATCCAAAGTCACACCTTGCTTGTGCAATGTGTTTACAAGATCTTGCATATTTGAACGTCAATGTTATTCAAAAAATGTGCAAAAAAATGCTTGAAATTGAAACAACACCCGTTCAGTGAACTTTGCACCCATTGGTATTATGGTTGTAACCTTGTAGGAAACTAACTACATATTATCTAATTGAGACATGTACATAAGCATCTGGGAAGTAAAAGTGCCGAAAGTACTAAAAGTTTGCTAGGAAGTTAGATTGTGTACTATAATATTGCTTAGATGGGTGGATGAGCTCACAGCACACCTGGTATTAAGTGGTTACTGGAGCCCATAGACATCTACAACGTAAAGACGCCACTCACCTTGAGATATAAGTTGTAAGGTCTCAGTATAGTTACAACGGCTGCCCCGCCCTTCAAACCGAAACGCATTACTGCTTCACGGCAGAAATAGGCAGGGTGGTGGTACCAACCCCTGCGGACTCACAAGAGGTCCTACTACCAGTCTAAATTATTTATATGCTCTTCCCGGAAGACCATCTAGTGGTTTTCAAAACAACCAATTCTAATTCTATAAAATATGCAGACGTCTACTGTGAGTACTTGCGAATGTCTGACGTAGATGCTTTTATCAGAAAAACTGAAAATGATAGTAACTACTACACACATACATGACTAATCTCGAAGCTGCGATTTATCAATAAGAGGCACACGTGATGTCCCGGGCTACGAGCATGAAATGATTTAGTGATTTTCAATAACAATTAATTGTAGGTCTGTTTGTATGATTTTAAATTTTGACTTTTTAATACACCCCACATATAATGTCGAACTCTTATAAGCAGTTAGAAGGGATCCTTAGAAGATATATTGGCAAACAAAAGGGAAAAAAAGTAGTAGGGACAGGAGAATGTGGCACAAAAAAAGTGTTGATTTTTAGTCACCTTTTGCTCCTAATTTACGGTCAGTACCTACTATAAATATATAAGAAAATAACAATAATGTGATAAAGGACTTCTTCATTTACAATATTGCATAACGAGTAAGCTGCGCCCATTTTTTCTTTTTCTGATCATTCTTTTGTTGTAAAATAGATAGTACATAGATAGGTTTTCGGGTGGTCATTTAGGACTAGGGAGATTCAATATCGAATGGAAAAGAAGAGCCTGGTCAGAATGATTACTGTTTACTGGTGGTAGGACGTTTTTTGTATCCGCACGGGTAGGTACCACCACCCTGCCTATTTCTGCCGTGAAGCAGTAATGCGTTTCGGTTTGAAGGGTGGGACATCTGTTGTACTGTACTGAGACCTTAGAACTCATATCTTTAAGTGGGCGGCGGCATTTACTTTGTATATGTTTATGAGCTCCGGTAGCCATTTAACACACGGTGGGCCGTGAGCTTGTTCTAAGCATCTAAACAATAAATAAAAATAATACATAACATAAGTAGAAATTTTGATCATCGGTAAACTAAAAACAGATAGGATGAGCAGATAAATCTGTCTTTTTTAGTTCATTTTTTCGTATTACGAAATTACTCAAAACTCGAAGCCACAAAGTGAGCTTATTTTGTCTTTTGGATATACATACATACGAGTTTTTGTATCAAGAAATGGTATTCATATTGGAATGGAAAATCATATTCGCTGGTAGTCTAAGGGGTCAGTTGCGCGTGGACAGGACGGTGAGCTCACAGGCTCAAACTGAGAGAATTTGCTAACACCAGCCCTAGGAAGAGCAGTGCTTCGGACTCGCCACTGAGAAGATCCGACCACTTGACGCAGGGTGAATTGTGTATCAAAATAGAAGCTTACTTAGTGGAATTGTAGATTACTAGTCATCGCTCAGAGGTCGAAATACTTTCATTACGATTTTTATTAATTCATCGGTATATTTTTGTAAATTGTATGGACGTAAAGAATTATTCTCATTAAATTATTATCTTACGTAAATTGTACCTTTCTGCAATCATCCATATTAAAATAAATATTAATTACTCGTATTCTACATCTCACGTCACTCAGATTTTACAATTTAGAAAGAATTCCAGGTTTTCTACACACATGTATTAGTGTAAAAATTTAAGTATGTTTCTTATAGTTTCGCTACTTGTCGATAGATGGCAATATTACTAATTTTTCTTTTGTATATGTATTTTGCATTTAAATTGAACATTTAAACTCGTACAGATATAAAGTTAACTAATCTAATTTTAAATTTCATTAAAGTTGTCGAAATTAGACGTTTTCAAAGACTGCAATGTAAATTATTTGATACAACAATGATAATGTATGAAAACTTTAAAGTTATTATACTTTTTACGTTTCCTCACCTTCGTTGGTAAATAAGTGTTTACGAGTAAAAAATAGCTTGCTAAAAAAATGCTTAGATGCGTGGACTAGCTCACGGCTCATTTGGTGTTAAGTGGTTACTGGAGCCCATAGACATCTATAACGTAAATACCGCCATGCACCATAGTCTCAGTATTTATAGTACAACGGCTGCCCACTCTTAAAACCAAAACGCATTATTTATTTACGGCAGAAATAGACAGGGTGATGGTACCTACACGTGCGGACGTCACTATAATTGTCCAGGGAACTTCCAAGGCAATTGAAACAGTCGAAGTTTGAGCTAAAAGTGCCCGGGATTATGGATATGAGCCGGTGCTCCGCTGAGAGTAGACCTCATCTGTCGCATCTCTCTAGCTTGATATTGAGATCGATATTCCTCTTAATATCCGATGATCACTTCTGGTTTTAATCGCGTTGATCACAGAGACATAATTGAATATTAGCCCTTTGTCGATGTAACTATGTAAGTATTATTTGGTCCACCTCCTTTAATCCTATTTCCTGAAAAAAGAGCTCATCGTAAATAGTGCCTCCTTCTATATGAAACCGACAACTAGGTTTCCACAGTGGTCCAATATCCAAATGACCCCGATCCCCATGACACGGTCAAGTGAGTTTTAGAGCTGTGCCTGACTTTGGCAATAGCATTGTACACAGTCTTCACCTCACCGTCGGAGTGTGCTAAGGTAGGGGTGTATACTTGTATAGTCTTCAACGAATGCCTTTTGCATATTCTGAATATAAAGTCAGCCATTCTGGTCAACACACTATCGATTTTTAGCACCGGCTCCCAGTTCCCAGCAGCTTCGCTATTGCTGGTTATAATACCGGCTAAGATAATACCGGGGAAGGAGGAAAAATGTGTGTCTTAAAACGCGAGTCTTTGACGGTAGTTAGACGTAGTTGCTGATAATGAGCCTTATCAGAAGGCTCATAGTCAATGGAGATAGTATACGTGGAGTTTTCGTACCAGAACGAATCAGAAATTTGGAGATTCGCAGGTGAGCCATGGTAATCGGCAGGTAATCGCCATAGCCCGAAGGATTGCGAGATTGAAATGACAATGGGCAGAGCACATTGTTGAAAGAACAAATGGCCGTTAGGGCCGAAACTTCTCGAGTGGTGAACGCTCACTGGAAGACGCAGTGTAGATAGGACGCAGGTTAGGCCTCCCACGACATGGACGACAACAGCCTGCTAAGCAACTGCGGGAATGCGTTGGATGTGGTCCGCTTAGGACTATTTATTGTGGCAATCCTTGGGAGAGGCCCATGTCCAGTAGTGGACTTTTGTAAGCTGATGGTCATGATGATACTATCGTGTAATATAAATCAAATTTATCAACATATATGTACATTCGCATAGTAGCTGGTATCTCCGTCTTGCTCAAGCTGATTCCGTTTAGCAATCCAATTGGGACTGCAACGTCCTCTCACTCGACTCATGTTTTTGGGGGATGTTGGCCTTCATGTTACGATCTACATTTTCAAGTCACAACTTAGTTAGTTAGGCGGTGAGCTCGTCAAGTGAAGAAAAGTGGAAGATCGAATATAATAAAGTTTGATTTTAAAGATGTATAAATACTTTTTTAGGATCCATATTACAATTGTAATAAAATAAAACAAAGTAGATGGTAATTTTTATTTTTATTATTAAATATCACAAAGTTTAAGTGTATTGCTGTAATTTTTGTACCGTTTTCATTTCTATTGACAAACATATTGTTACGCGTGTAACAATATAAATAGTTCGATATAATAACAAGAGAGCAAACGGGTGATTCACTCAATGCTACGTTTTAAATTTAACTTCATTTTTAATTTAGGATACGACAGTAAAGTAGTTAAAGGATTCGGCAGTTAAGAATTTTATGTTCGATAAAAAATCAAAGTTACATAAAATCACAATAATGCAAACAATGCTACATTGATTTTACGTTTTTATCTATTGAATTATTTTACAGTTATCCTTTTTTATAACTAAAAATGCCAATAAACAATTGAAGGTTTTGCTAAACTGGTAAAAAATGAAAAAAATACTATGGTTCTTTAATCAAGTAGATTGTAATATTTTATTGTAATCGATTAATGAACCCGTAAAAAAGTTTCCCTAATTTTACCCATATCGTGAATTAGAAAATAAAACTTATGGAGCATGAAGTCTTTTGGAAATGTGAATAGTCGAATATTCATGTTTTGCGTTATTACAGCTAAGCACAAAAAATCATTTGTTATTCGTACGAAATATTGCAAATTGTAGTGTAGCATGTAAATTATAATGTGTCAGACGTAAGCAGTTTCACATAAGTTTTTGAATTAAAATTGTTTTTAGTTAAATTTATAACTAAAACAAATCACACAAATAATCAATATTCAGTTTAGAATAAGGTAAGTAAATACTTTTTTAAAATTGATTGTCATATTGTACTCCTTTCGAAATATGCGAAATTACTCTTAAATAATTAAGTCTATCACAGTATTTTAACACACTGTGGCCTAGAGCTTACTGAAACAATCGACAATGATAACAGCTATTTGGTTGGAAACTCAGTCAACACGTCATAACTCTTTATGACAGCACGTAGCGAAAAAAGGAAATTAAGTAAAAATTCAAAAAATTGCGATTGCGTGTTGTTAAATTCCTACTCGAAAAATAAATTTATTTTTAGTTCTTTTTTTCAACACAAATTATAATTTGGTATAAAATGACATTCAGTTACACAAGATGGTTTAATATCTAAAAAGAATGTATCGTGTGAATTTATGATATCTTTATCAAGTTATTATTATTATCTCTTTCTTTTGGAGATAGAACATGATTTTAGTTTAAATTAATTAAAAATACTTACATTATCTTTTGAAACAAACCAGAAATCGAGTTTTCAATTGATAACACGTTGCAATCATTGATAAAAAATTAACATACAGAACCTATACCTAAGTANATCTAAAAATAATGTATCGTGTGAATTTATGATATCTTTATCAAGTTATTATTATTATCTCTTTCTTTTGGAGATAGAACATGATTTTAGTTTAAATTAATTAAAAATACTTACATTATCTTTTGAAACAAACCAGAAATCGAGTTTTCAATTGATAACACGTTGCAATCATTGATAAAAAATTAACATACAGAACCTATACCTAAGTAGATTGAGCTGATTTTTTTTGGTGATAGTTTTCCATACAAAACCCTGATATAAATAACGAAGTCAACAATGGCCACCTTAGCCCTACCGTATCCACCAAAATAAATAGCTAAGTTAGATGCAAAAAAAAATTGTAATTTTGTATTATTTCTAAACTAAAAGTTACTAAAATCACTAAATAGATGACTTAAAAATAATTGAGCTTTCTCCCGACGAAAACTGCAGCCGCTTTTAGGCTTTTTGTGGTATATTGTCTTTGTTTCTTACAATGGAGTTTGTGGAATCGTACACACATATATATGTATATATACAATGTAACAATTCCATTGCTTCATTTTCTATGGGTGTGTATATAAGATAGTGAGGCAGATTCACTGTGAAGCCACGGCACCCGCCATCCTTTGCCGAACGTCACCAAGTGCTGAGCCATTGCTGAAACCGTTCAGCAGTGGAAGCTTCATCTCCTTTGTTTCATACTTGACTGGTTCGTCCTCCACTTTCATCATAGATTTGGCCTTCTGGAAATCAAATTAATAATTCTTTAACATTTTTATTTTGTAGTCGATTTTTTTGCTGCTCTTGATAGCCAGACGGGTAAGACAAGAGTAGTTGTCGAGTGACGTGAATAAATGCATTGACAGCCACCAAAATAGTATCTACCATCTTTGTCTGTTCCCCTCTACCAGCTAATATTTGTGTTAATATTTGCGGGAGGGATAGATCTAAATTGTATAAGTAGCTAAATTGTATAAGCATATTATTAGGCTTGCAGATCACTATAATGATCTGTAGAACTATTTACATGTAAAGTCAGTTGACTTTATCATAATGTCCATGATTTTTTTTTATTTTATTGCTTAGATAAGTGGACGAGCTCACAGCCCACCCGGTGTTAAGTGGTTACTGGAGCCCATGGACATCTACAACGTCAATGCGCAACTCACCTTGAGATATAAGTTCTAAGGTCTCAGTATAGTTACAACGGCTGCCTCACCCTTCAAACCGAAACGCATTACTGCTTCACGGCAGAAATAGACAGGGCGGTGGTATCTACCCGTGCGGACTCACAAGAGGTCCTACCACTAGTAAAATTGTAGGTTATCTATTATTTTTTGAGTGCGTGTTTTGGGTTAAATGCAATTTCGTAGTCATTACCTTGCTCTTCCTGAGGTAGGCCTGTTTGTAGAAATCAGAAAACAGATAGTAGAAGAGTACGGCGTGCATGCCGATCCACCAAACGAATGCTCGCGGATAATCGCAGTCGATGAACAGTAGCTGGAACGCATGAATGAACACGAGTACGAACTGGACCTAGAATGATTGAAAAATATTTATAAGTTAGAAATATTTATTAAAAAAAACTAGCTGACCCGACAGACTTCGTAGTGCCTCAATCGATAAATAAAAGACCTAAACTTTTATATAAAATAAAATTAAAACAAACAACAGGAAACCGTCCGACGGGGGACACATCAAAGGAAAAAAAAATGTTATTTTTATTTAATTCCAACTCATTTCATATATATCTATCTACCTTTTAAACCTTCTCTGGACTTCCACAAATAATTCAAGACCAAAATTAGCCAAATCGGTCCTGCCATTCTCGAGTTTTAGCGAGACTAACGAACAGTAATTCATTTTTTAAGTATACTTATAGATATATTATTATGCACTTACAAATGAACAAGTTGTCATAAACATTTGAAAAATATATAGAGACGAAAAACTAACACGCGTTGCGGTTATGGCCTAATTGCAATAGGAAATAAACTATCAAGGTAGTATTTTTGCTATTACTTAAGCGGCTCGCTCGATTTGTCTGAAAAACATTCATGACATTCATTTAGCTCCATTTCTCGAAAAATTACTTGTACAGTGTTTTTATAACAGATTGTAATGTATCATTTATTTACATTGTTATATAGTAACTCAATGCTTTGGGTTGCAAAATAAGTATTTGTTTTTTGCTTATGGTTGCATTTTGATTTTTATCGTACATTATTGATTTTTATGCTGCCACTTTAGTCTTAGTTTTAACTAACTATTAATAATAAAAAATTAATTGAATATTAATGACCGTTAATTGTCTTATCGCATTTACAGTCGCTTGTCAGTTTTTCATTATAGTGAAAATTTAAATGAGACATTGTCGACACTATTAAAGTTGTTTCTATGCGCCCATAGGTGTCGCTGCAACCCATTTAAAACAATTTTCTACGTTACTCAAAAACATTATGAATAAAAAGCGCCTTTATGTTTTAATCTCGCATTTTTATTGTTCTCATCTCGAATGGATAATTAACTTCGGTTTTTATTATATGAATTCAGTATTATCGATTAATTTCTTAATAAATGTATAATCCTCCTCTTTCGTATACTTCACAGTTGTTTTAAGCTATGATCTTGGTGATTTATATTTACTTATTCCCGAAAGCCGCGTCCTGTCTGAGCTGACCACTCCACTTTAATTAGTAAAATGTAAAAAATATTGAAAACTCTATTATATAATTTAAAGCCACAGTCACATTATTTTGTGTAAAAGAAGTTCGACATAAACATTCAACTAAAATTAAATGCATCGCGATGCTCAACTTAATACTATCTACGATGTTTCGGATTTTGAAATACCTAAAAACCACTTTAAAAAAATAGATGAAAAGAGAGAGAGAGAGAGGGAAAGAAAGAGGAAGAGAGAGGAAGAAAGAGAAAAAGAGAGAGACTGTTAAAGAAACTAATAATCTTGTTCTTGTTAAGCGCAACGGAAACGATACAATATGATGTTGATTCCATGGTATAACTTACATTATTGAAGACATGACTGGATGAAGGGGATATGATAGAATTTGCTAATTTTGAGAAAACGGGCAACCAACTTTAGTTACTTGTACTTTTTCTTCGTACATAATTCCTTCATCGCGTGAATGATTCGCACGTTTTCTAAAAATAGCCTTTAAGTCCGGTCACCACAAAACACCTTCATTTAATGTAAAAACACAAAAATCTTAAAAATTCTACTTAACCCCTTTCATCTACTCATGTCTTCAATTGCCTTTGGGTATAGGCTGAGTGGCAATCATCTTTTTATCATGTTATTTATGTATATATTTAACTAATTCTAATCAACATCAAAACGTCTGATTATCTTAAAATTTGCACACGTATCAAGGACTTATCACAATACAAGGCAAAATAAATAAAATACTTTAATTTTTATTTCGGTTTGTTATTTGTCACGCCAGCTTTTTTTTTCCAACTTGCCTTGAGAATTTGTAACTCAAAATGATGTTAATAATTCGAATGGATAATTAAAAAGGGTTTTGCTCTCTTGTAATAAAACGTACAACTTTTAATTCCTTATCTATCATTTAAGAAAAGTTAATAAACATACCATTTGAAGAGCGGTTAGGTATTTCTTCCACCACAGATACTTCTGAACCTGCGGTCCGAGGGCTGCCAGCAAGTAATACGAATACATTACGATGTGTACGAAAGTATTGAGCATACCGAAGAATGTGGAGTGACCACCTGCAAAAAAAATAAAACTGGATAATGATCCGGAGTATGTACTTTTTTTTTGGCAATAAAGAAGGTTTTATATTTGTGTGGGTTAGCGTTTGGGTTCAACGTTTGACTTAAAATAAAACATAAAACGAATTGACTGTGTTATTTCTTTTCAATAACAAAACATGAATCACAGGGTCCAAAATTGTACTACGTAATTTAGAATTATGTATGGTTAAGTTTTTTATTTATAGATCTGTATCTACTTTCTGGCTTCACGATTTAATATGAAAGTTAATATATGTACTAAGTATGCATCTAGATTGTTATCCCTTTAGTATCTTATTTAGATATTTGAAAAAGACAAAATATTTTAGATTAATCTAACAGTTTTCATGATTACAAAGTAAAGATAAAGTAAACGATCTAAGCATGTGAATGGCAGAAGTGAAATGCTGATGGGAAACGTATTAGAATTATCATTACCTAAATTAACAAACATAAGAAAATTTCAATTTAAGGAAGTTATAAGGTCCATGTATATCTATCTATAAATATTATGATTATAAAATAAAGGTAATGTACCTAATTCATGAGGTCATTGACATTTAAATTGGTAAAATTTTACCTTAAGCCAGTTTATTAAAAATTTTACGTACTTATAATTTGATTTATTAAATGAGGGTCGCACTTCTTTTGCAACATTTTATTGATTATTCCAACATAAACAGGTTCATTTAATTGTTCATTGGTTAGAGTTCCAGCTCGTGCTAATATTAAGGATTATAATATATTTTTAGATAGTTTCACATCTCATCACAACACAAAATATTTCAAAAGGTTATTATGAAACTTTTTTTTTTAAATATATAATTAAATCTTTAAATATTATACCAGTATCGTCCAATATCATATGACACCGAACCATAATTTTATACTACATTGTGTAGGTCGTTTTTGTTTTGTTCAAGGAGATTAATAATAATTATCCGGATTTTGTACTACTACTTAAAATTAATCACCACTAAAATTATTAAAGCATAATATTACGAACTTCTTCAAGATATATGTAATTAATGCCAAGGTTAATAAATATGCGTTTTCATTATGAGCACACCACGAATTCAAGAGCCATATTTTTTGTTTGTCCAGTATGTGTGGGCCAACTATAATTTCCTAGTTTGTTTTCGCTTTTGACGTAGACACTACAAAGTTTTACGTCTTCATGAGGATCAAAAACGAACTTAGATCGCCCGGTGAGATTATTTGAACGTATTACTCGTGCAAATAATGACGAAACGTCATACGAACTGCCGGCTATTTGAGCAAACATTCTAAGGTCGAAATGTTTTTGCTCAATTTATTATATCGCATCTAGAATATTCTTCACATGAATTGACTTAGTTTGCTTAATGGCTCTCAAATAATCGTTACAACATTCGAGCACACTCATCAGTTTGCTCACACAACATAAATCATTGTAAGTGAAGCATTATCCTCGCTCATAGAAGTTTCGAGTCCACTTCGTTTAAATATTTTATGACGAGCAAATAATTGAATGAATGGATTAAGTGCCAAGTTATGTATCACGGGAAGATATATGACGTTAATCATATTTCTCTGTATGTCTCCGTAAAATGTATTATGCGTGGCATACATTTTAAATGTCATTTTGTGATGTTATCTTTTAAGGAGCATAGGTGTAGAGGCTAGCTGTCACAGAACACAATATATTTGACAGATGCCTGAATGACGCTAACGACAATTTCAAGATAGATTTGCATATAAAGTTCGGAACAATAAAATTCGGACCGTCGGTCTACCGAGCAATTTCATCTGCTTAGTGGATTTATCGATGCCCCAAAACTCAGTTTGTTGAAACAACACCCACGCTACTTATCGCCACAATAGCTATAATACTTTCCTTGTAGTCAACAACAACTATATACGTTTCAAATCAACTTAAATAAACAAAGCAAACACATAAAATACGCAAACTAACAAGGAATAAATATTTCAGCAAAGGTTTTTTTAAAGAAATTTTCTAAGTATCCGTTGGATGCGTCTAGCTCAAGAATGGTTGCTCTTGCTAGCTGATGATGGAGTAGATGAAGATAACTAGGGATTGCCGTACTGTATATTTTCATATGTGATTTAGGATATCCATCATTCTAATAATTGACACTATGAATTGATGTTTCTGAATAGATGGTAACATTCAAGTTGGACTCCGATAGTCTTCTAACATCACTATGACTCGATGGCTCAGTATCCTACTGCTACTTCTTCTTCTTCTTCCTAGCGTTTTCCCGGTCTAATACCAAGGTCCGCTTTCCTACTTAAAATCCTGCACTTTTCCCGGTCTTTGGCATCCTTCTAGGTGAAATTACTCTCCTCCATATCCGCCTTTACCATATCCAATCAGAGTTTCTTGGGCCTAGTACTACTACCAAATATATATTCAACATTACCGACTGAGATTAATAAATGAGAAAACCACTTTTGATGCGTCTCGTCCATTCATATTTGTTTACAAATCACCTATTGATCGTTGTGTATTCAATACAAGGACAACTGGGTTGGTTCATTGATGTTTTGGCATTTAAGTAAACATGTAGAATGTATAACTGTGAAGCCACAAGTAGCCCGTGTCAGCTATATTTGTTACATTGTTAATCAAGCTTAAGAAAAGAAACGTTGACCGATTCTGAATTAATTAATTTTTGTTCGTAATTTTATTTGTATGTGGCGGTGTAACCGTTCTGGAAATATCGAAAACCGACTAAACAAACGGCAGAAACGGGCAGAAAAGTGGAAATATTAAAAAAAAACAACGCTTGAACTTCGAAATTCACAATATTCGATAGATTACGTTTTTTTTTAAACGGAAACAATTTACTTTATTGCTTGCTCCTCGGAGATAATGGATCTTAATAAAAACGGAGGGAAATCCCCAATTATTTCAGCAATTTTGTAAGTAAATAGCACGATTCACATCATAACAGCGTAGTGATAAGCTATTTAAAATGCTAAATCTAAACATGACTATGCGAAAATTACAAAGATTTTCAACAACCATCTCAAAGTGTGATAGACAGTATATTCTAGCAACCTGTATGTACGAATATAAGTTTGCAGTTTCCATTTAGCATCCGTGACATCATCAATATTCACATCCGTTTAGTGAGCAGCCGTTAAAAAGAAAGAACATATTTGGATTCCCTGTCGACGTAGNAATGCTAAATCTAAACATGACTATGCGAAAATTACAAAGATTTTCAACAACCATCTCAAAGTGTGATAGACAGTATATTCTAGCAACCTGTATGTACGAATATAAGTTTGCAGTTTCCATTTAGCATCCGTGACATCATCAATATTCACATCCGTTTAGTGAGCAGCCGTTAAAAAGAAAGAACATATTTGGATTCCCTGTCGACGTAGGAATTTTCTTTAAGACGTCAATTATTATATCAACGACTGTGTGCGACGTACTTGTTAATAATTAATACCTATAGTGTGCTCTCGGATTTACGCCGAGACGTTTTAAAGCGCTTTATTAATTTAATCTTACGGTTGGTTGGTTTCGCTTTTAAATATCTTAAGATTCTGGTATTATATATTACAGTTCAACTAACAATAAATAAATAATACCAGGAATAAGTCACGCACGGTCATTCGGCCCCAAAATAGGATTCCCTGTGTTATGTATGTATACAATATGTATGTGGAAACCAAAGGTTTATAATATATTATGTACATATTTATGTACGTTTAACTAGTAGACAATAAACACCCAGACAAAGATCAAATAAATCTGTTTATCACACGAATGTTTGTCCGATATGGTAATCGAACCCAGGACCCTCGGCGCAACAATCAGAAGCGCTAACTACTGCGCCACCTAGTCAATCGCATATATTATCATATAAATGTATAGAAATAAATCATAATAAATAAATTTACGATTATCATAACCAGCTGTCGAGCGCATTAAAAAAAAAAAATATTTTTCATCTTAATTGTTATGACGTGGTAACAAGAGACTTCATCTCTGTGTGAACGCCCTACAACCAGTAGTTATGCAGATTTATAAATGGAAATTTGATTTTTATCGCATAATGTTATTCTTTCGTTATGTTATTCGCATAATGTTATTCTTTTTATGAAGGAAGGATTACCGGTGGCCCGAAGGCGTTTCCAGTTTCGTGGGAGGCCAGGTGGGGAGGACGTATGTATTTATGGACATGTTTACGTAGGCATACCCCAACACAACTGCGATGAAATGCTAAGTAAGTTTTTGACATCGTCGTGGTCTAAAGGATAAGACGTCCGGTGCATTCGTATCTTGCGATGCACCGGTGTTCGAATCACGCATGCTAGTTAGTACCAATTCTTCTAATTAAATACGTACTTAAGAAATGTTCACGATTGACTTCCACGGTGAAGGAATAACATCGTGTAATAAAAATCACGCAAAATTATAATTTGCTTAATTACTGGTGGTAGGATCTCTTATGAGTCCGCACGGGTAGGACCCTGCTTATTTCTGCCGCGAAGCAGTAATGAGTTTCGGCTTAAAGGGTGGGGCAGCCGTTGTAACTATACTGAGACCTTATAACTTATATCTCAAGGTGGGTGGCGGCATTTACTTTGTAAATGTCTATAGGCTCCGGTAACCACTTAACACCAGATGGACTGTGAGCTCGTACATCCATCTATGCAATAAAAATAAATAAATAAAGGTAGTGGAGACTTTATTATATGGCTATCGACGTCATACATCAAGATTGATAGTGGCATTTACGTTACGCTGTCTATGGGATCTATTATCTATATATTTATACGTGAAGCTAAAACTTTGTATCCCTTTTTACGAAAATTGCGCGGACGGAGAAGTATGAAATTTTCCACACTTATAGAGAATATAGAGAAGAAGTGCACAATGCTAATATTTTTTTAAAATAATGCATAAAAGATACATTAAATCAACAAAGAAAACATTACACACACTACATACCATG